CACATGACCAATCATCAGTGAAGCAGGAATTCCACTCCAAATCTGTCCAGAATCAAAGCACACTCTCTCCCATCCTGGCCCGTCCTCGGCTCATGTGGTAATTTTGCTGTAAGCAGTGGCTAGCTACCCCACAGCACATAGAGCCTTTTTTGTTTTGTTTGTTTTTTTTCTCAAGAGAGGCTAGGAGCCAAACCTTCTGCTCCTTTTATTGGAATCACAGAAAGTATCACTAATTCTCAAAAACCCATACCCTGGAAGTTCAATGAAAATGGAATGATTGGAATATTATTAGTATGAATGGGATGGTTGATCCACATCTCAAGGTTGATTACACAAAGTGAAGTTGAAACCATTGAAACTATTTTCTAGATAATTATGATCAAAAGAACGACTGTTAAGGAAAAGATAGCTTGAAATATTTAAGAAAATAGGTTGTAAAATTATTCAAATTAGTTTTATATAGTTTTACTTAGAGAATTTAACCAACACACCTTTCCAAGTTCATTCTTTTAAAAATGATTGGAAATTTAAACCTGTGATTAATTCTGCCTTGTATTCTTACCTGTTCTGTAACAAAAAATACATTTTACATATGTTCTCATAAAGTTTTCAAAAGAAGTTTTCTTCTAACCCTACCATAATGTAAATTCAGTGATAATTTTGTCCAGTTGGTTTCATTAGAGGCACCATATATATTTGACAAATCTTTGGTTTTGGTTTTTCTTTATACCACTTTTCTTTATACCAGTCATTTTTGAGCATTACAAGATATTTGTCCAAGTATAAACCAAGACTCCGTTTCAGGAAGCTCACTAGTGCTCTGAATTTCTTCCTAATTGTGATTCTTCTGAGTTGCGGTTATTTTTAATTTGCTTCTACTAATTTGCAATTTATCCTTTATCTTTGGCCCCGATTTTACAAAAGCTTATTTCTCAACTAACCCTGAGTATATCAGGCAGTCGCAGCTTTTAGCTCCAAGAGTCCCATCACCATTGAGCCTCAATGAAACTCGACCTCCCAAGACATGACTCCTCTGATCCTCAACATCAGCTTTGAGTGGAAAATGGTTGAGCTGTCTCTGCATTTCATTGCCACGAAAGAAATCTGCTTTTTAAAATGGTGGCTTAATAATTCCTGAAATGGGGATGGTAGCCGACTCCTGTGACCCTGAGAAGGACATTGTTGCTTCCAGAAAGGAGGAGCGAAGTGATGCTGTGGCTGAGGTGCAGTTGGGAGCAAACTGTCCATCTCCAAGAGAGCTGAGCGCTACTCTACAGGGAGCAGGACCCACACCAACCACTGAGCAGTCCTTTTCTAGCTGTGACTGTCCTCCATGAGCTCTTTGCTGTACTTTCTAGCTGGGTTCGTGTAAGAAATTGTGAAGCAGAAAACTGTCTGAGGAATCGGTGACCCATGGCGGCACAAGAGGACTGGCCTTTAATGGCTTCACAGATGGAGTAGTGTTGGAAGCAGTGGCTGGAGCTCACGTCAGCATCCCACTCTTCTCCCAGCATCCATCCCAGTCTGGGTACTAGGGAGCCCAGGGATAGGAGTAGGGTGTGTGTGTGTGTGTGTGTGTGTGTGTGTGTGTGTGTGGAGGTGACTGGAGGTTCTTTTCTGTTCCCAGGCCAGTTGGATATCTCCACTTGTCTTCCTTTATTCTATTACAATGCCTTTCCAACAGAGTAGAGGAACTCTTACTTCAAAACGGTTTAGGGAGACTAAATTTAATTGTATGAATAAGAAAGAAGTTCATGTCAATGAGGCAGTTGCTCTGGAAGAAGCACTGCTCTCAGAGAAACATTCGGGTTGCCTTTCACTCAAAGTCTGTGTGTTCTGAGGCTGCATCCTCTCTTGAGAGAGGAATTAACTTTCCACATTTTAAACCATTGACCGCACGTGTGCCTGACGTGTTCTCGGGAGGAGTTATAACGATAGATCACTAATGAGGGAGACAAACTGGATAACCGAGAAGAGATGACTAAATTCCTAAAATCATACAACCTACCAATAATAAATCATGCCCGGCTGGTGTGACTCAGTGGTTGAACGTAGAACTATGAACCAGGAGGTCATGGTTTTGATTCCCAATCAGGGCACATGCCCAGGTTTCAGGCTTGATCCCCAGTGTGGGGCATCCAGGCGGTAGCTGATCAATGATTCTCTCTCATCATTGATGTTTCTCTCTCTCTCCCTCTCCCTTCCTCTCTGAAATCAGTAAAAATATGTTGTAAAAAAAGATATAACCCCACACATATATGGTCAGTTAATTTATGACAAAGGAGCCAAGAATACACAATGAGTAAAAGATGATCTCTTCAAAAATGGCATTAGGAAAAATGGGTATCAACATGCAAAAAGATGAAATTTGGATCCTCATCACACAGCATACACAAAAATCAGTTCAAGTGGATTAAAGATGAAATGGAAGACCTGAAACTAAGGTGGTGTACACTTAAAATTTTTAAGAGGTTAGATCTCATGTTGTGTTCTTATACAATAAAAAAAAAATTAAATAATGGGTATGTTGTGGTGGGGGCTTAACTGTTTATTTTCCTATCTCAACTCCAATGGCCTTAGTCACGGATACATAAAAATGAAGGCTGGTTTTTTTTTACATTGGCTTTATTGGGGTGACATTGGTTAACAAAATTATATAGGTTTGAGGTTACAATTCTATAATTTTTTACACAGTTTTATAAAGAAGAAGTTTCTAAGCAAAGAGAGGGGAATTTTGCTTTGCAGTGTTAAGCTTTTATGTATTATTTTATTCAGTCAGCACACATTTGCTGGGGGCCTGCCATGAGCCAGCACTCAGCAGTTTCGGTGATACAAGTGCGAACTAAGATCCCTGTCTTCAAGATGCTCATCATGCACAAGGCCAACACACTGTTTGAAGTAGCGGCTTTGGCGTGTACAAAGTGGAGTAGGTGCATAGAGGAGGCGAGGGAATGCTCAAGGAGGCTCACAAACCCCTCCAATGTAGGGGGGTCACAAAACGGCTCTCCCAGGGTGCAATGGGTAGGAACAGGCACCCTCCAGATCCATCCAGCCCAAGCCTCTGTAGAGCGGGGACTTCTTCCCTGATCAGGAAGGAAGGTGGTTGACACAGATTAAGCGTCGTCCACTTTTTCTTGCCAGGATTCTATCAAACAAAGGAGCAGCCTGTGAAAAGCAACATTTCTCTTCTTGTCTTTGTTTTCTTCATTAAATCACTCTCAGGGCAACTGCACGCTCCAGCAATAGGTGTCAGAACACTACGGGCAGGTGTGTCTATGCCGTCAGAGTCTGCTCTGTTACCAGCATCATGTTTACGAAATCAATTTTCTGTGCCTGCTGGGTCAGGCTGCTGTGAGAACTAGTTCTCCACAGGTCATCGCATTGCCTCCAGGGTCATTTGACAGGACTGGCTTTTTATCAGGGGCACAAAGGCGAGGAGCACTATATACCTTCTCCTGACATAGGCATCACCTGTCTCGCCATGCTGGTAAATAATATGCAGATGGTAACTTAAGAGATGCGGCATTCCCACTGCTCTTTTTCACTCCTGGACCTCTGTCTATGTTGCAAAAATCAAAGGCAGGATTACCTCAAAATTTGATTTTATTTTCCTCCTGTTCTCACTTTCTGGTGCCCACACAACACAGACGGTACATTCTTCTCTGTTTTAACCTATGTTTTCAGGTAGCACAGCCCCTTGTGCTCATACTCTTACTGTAGAATGTTGGAGAATTACTCAATGAAGACTCATGCTTTTGTTGATTCTCAGATACATATTAATTGCCTACTGTGTTCCTGGCATGATGCTAAATCTTAAACATAGTATGAACAATGGGAAAGATGGCAGCATCTGAATTAGGGACTGTTTTTATTTTA